CTATATGATTTTGTAGGGATAAGCTTTCTTTGGCTATGCTATTTTGATAAGACATGATTACTTGTTAGTATGCTTGAAGTATTACTATATTTATGTCAATATTAAACTTTTATCTTGAATTTTTTGGATTTGAACATTCATGCCACAATAAAGAAAATTACATTGTGAAATATGCTAGGTAGAATTCCACATCAAAAATTCTATTTTTATCATTTACCTACTGGAGGACGAGCAGGAATTAAGCTTGGGGATGCTTGATACGTCTCCAACGTATCTATAATTTTTTATTGTTCCATGCTATTATATTATCTGTTTTGGATGTTTATCGGCTTTATTATACACTTTTATATTATTTTTGGGACTAACCTATTAACCGGAGGCCCGACCCAAATTGTTGTATTTTTGCCTATTTCAGTGTTTCAAAGAAAATGAATATCAAACGGAGTCCAAACGGAATGAAACCTTCGGGAGAGTTATTTTTGAAACAACCGCAATCCAGGAGACTTGGAGTAGACGTGAGGGAAGCTTCGAGGAAGCCACGAGGGTCCAGGGTGCGCCCTAACCCCCTGGGCGCGCCCCACCCTCGTGGCTCCCTCGTGGCTCCCCTGACCGACTTCTTTCACCTATATATATATATATCCGTATACCCCACAAACATCGGGGAGCACAATAGATCGGGAGTTCCGTGCCGCAAGCCTCTATAGCCACCAAATACCTCTCGGGAGCCTGTTTCGGCACCCTGCCGGAGGGGGGATCCATCACCAGTGGCCTTCTTCATCATCCCGATGCTCTCCATGACGAGGAGGGAGTAGTTCACCCTCGGGGCTGAGGGTATGTACCAGTAGCTATGTGTTTGATCTCTCTCTCTCTCGTGTTCTTGATTTGGCACGATCTTGATATATCGCGAGCTTTGCTATTATAGTTGGATCTTATGATGTTTCTCCTCCTCTACTCTCTTGTAATGGATTGAGTTTTCCCTTTGAAGTTATCTTATCGGATTGAGTCTTTAAAGATTTGAGAACACTTGATGTATGTCTTGGATGTGCTTATTTATGGTGACAACGGGATATTCACATGATCTACTTGATGTACGTTTTGTTGATCAACTTGCGGGTTCAGTGACCTTGTGAACTTATGCGTAGGGGTTGGCACACGTTTTCGTCTTGACTCTTTGGTCGAAACTTTGGGGCACTCTTTGAAGTACTTTTTGTTGGTTGAATAGATGAATCTAAGATTGTGTGATGCATATCGTATGATCATGCCCACGGATACTTGAGATGACATTGGAGTATCTAGGTGACATTAGGGTTTTGGTTGATTTGTGTCTAAAGGTGTTATTCTAGTATGAATTCTATGATAGATCGAACGGAAAGAATAGCTTCGTGTTATTTTACTACGGACTCTTGAATAGATCGATTAGAAAGGATAACGAGGTGGTTTCGTACCCTACAATAAGCTCTTCGTTTGTTCTCCGCTATTAGTGACTTTGGAGTGACTCTTTGTTGCATGTTGAGGGATAGTTATATGATCCAATTATGTTATTATTGTTGAGAGAACTTGCACTAGAGAAAGTACGAACCATATGCATAGGATAAAACTTTTGATGAAATTCCAATTTCAACCGATTCCAATCCCATGTTCTGATATCATCACATAGCATATACCATGTCAATGTCTTTCCATTCAAAGATAAAGGGAAGACCTTCTTCTTAACTTCATGTTCGGGTAAACCTGCAAGATTAAATAATCCACAAACTTCATCCACATAGATTAGGTGCATATCAGAATGTAATGTTCCCTCTCCTGCATAAGGATTAGCTAGCAGTTTCTCTATCATACCCAAAGGAATATCATAATACATATTTTCAATAAGTGCAGTAGGTTGAGGAGAAGATCTTTGTGCATTCGGTCGTGGTGAAGATACCCCGAACAAACCCCTCAAAGGATGATTTTCCATAGTAACAAGTAACAGTAAATTTCAGCACGTAATATAAATATTTCCTTACCAAATTCCACTTACTAGAAGCGCTTCACTCCTCGACAACAGTGCCAGAAAAGAGCCTTGATGACACACAAGTATAGGGGATCTATCGTAGTCCTTTCGCTTAGTAAAAGTGTCGAACCCAACGAGGAGCAGAAGGAAATGCGATACGTCTCCAATGTATCTATAATTTTTTATTGTTCCATGCTATTATATTATCTATCTTGGATGTTTTATATGCATTTATATGCTATTTTATATTATTTTTGGGACTAACCTATTAACATAGAGCCTAGTGCCAGTTTCTGTTTTTTCCTTGTCTTTGAGTTTTACAGAAAATGAATATCAAACGGAGTCCAGTTGACCTTAAAATTTATGGAGATTATTTTTGGACCAGAGGAAGCCCACGGAGCATTGGAGATGGACCAGAAGAGTCCCGAGGCCACCACGAGTGTGGAGGGCGCGCCCCCCTACCTCGTGGCTTCCTCGTGCACCCCCCTGACTTGTTCCCAATGCCAACACCTCTTATATATCCCCAAACTTCCAGAACAGAACCAAGATCGGCATTTCCGCCGCCGCAAGCCTCTATAGCCACGAAAAACCAATCGGCACCATGTTCTGGCACCGTGCCGGAGGGGAGAATCATCACCAGTGTTCATCTTCGTCATCCCGATGCTCTTAAAGACAAGGAGGGAGTAATTCACCCTCAGGGCTGAGGGTATGTACCACAACATATGTGTTTGATCTTTCTCTCTCTTGTGTTGTTGATATGGCATGATCTTGATGTATCGCGAGCTTTGCTACTATAGTTGGGTCTTATGATGTTTCTCCCCCTCTACCTTCTTGTAATGGATTGAGTTTTCCATTTGAAGTTATCTTATCAGTTTGAGTCTTTAAGGATTTGAGAACACTTTATGTATACCTTGCATGTGCTTATCTGTGGTGACAATGGGATATTCACGTGATTCACTTGATCGATGTTTTGGTGATCAACTTGTGGGTCCCGTGACCTTGGGAATCTATGCATACGGGTTGGCACACGTTTTGGTCTTGACTCTCCGGTAGAAACTTTAGGGCACTGTTTGAAGTTCTTTGTGTTGGTTGAACTAGCAAAAAGGCCCGTGTGTTGCAATGGGAGAAAAAAAACTTCTCGTGTCTCTAGCTCAGTAAATTTATTTTAAAACAATGACTTATATTGAATGATACATAAATGCTTTGAATAAACATTAGTCGAAACCCTTGATTTTGTGATTAAACAGGGCATCAATTGCTTGTAGATTTAATATGTACATAGTCATTTTTCTAGTGATCATCATGACGCCCATGGAATTTGGTGTCTTTATGGGAAAGAAAAGTGATGGAAACCAGTGACAATATGTGTAGAAGAACTACGGAGACATCACCGACTTTCGAGTTGTTTGGTAGAACTCCAACTCCTTTCAAGCCAGTCGCGCATCATCCTAACTTCAAGGCCAAGATCGAGAAAGCCGCCTTACATCCAAAATTACAGGACTAAGAAATGAATTACGCATTTTAGATCAATTTATTTTCAACTGATTTAAAATAGAATGATTGTGCTTAAAACAACATAAGTAGGCTGACCTGAAGTACTTGGTGCAAATTATCCTGAGGGGCCATTCACACATTGAGCGAGGCATGGGATTGCGGCGGCCTCATCTGTCCCTGTAGAATAATTAAAATAATTGTGTGTGCTCAAATCGGCGTACAAATAGCTAAAAAAGGAAGCAATGACCACCAACCAAGTTAATATAACCAGATTCAGTAGACCAAAATATTATGTATAGATACAAACTTTAGACGTGGTTTACTGTTCTTATATATGTGTTCCTTATATTTTGCAAGTACATATTGAGTACACAACAATTTCCTTTTGTATGATGCAAAGTACACTTCATTGGGTCATTCTAAGCTTAAAGTAAACTGGAAATTGTTGGGTCATTCCAAGCTTAAAGTAAACTGGAAATTGTTGGGTCATTCTAAGCTGAAAAATTCTCAATGGGGAAATTCGTTGGGTCATTCTAAGATGAAAATTTCTTATATTTTCCAAAAGGGGTCACTCTAGGCTTAAAGTACCAGTCTTTACAAGTAGAGATCATACATATTGTCATGAAAATCTCGTACGGTTTTCTGTACATATGAACATCACTAATCTGGGTCCTTCCTGCTGTATAAAATAGAAATAATGCAATTAAGTTGTTGTACAACTAAAGTATTTCATACGGGCTTAATTATTTTGGCTGGGAACAGTTCTTAATGATTATACACTCTATTAACATTAATAGAAGAAATTTAAGAAGATGGTATATGCTAAACTGTCAAAGTACAAAATATTCAGATTCTAGGCTTAATACAGAGGGGCAGAGGATCAGCTATACAATGAAGATAATGTGAAATTTAGCTGTGTGCTATGAAGAAACAACTGATAACACACAACGTCCAACTTTCCCCATTGAGAAACGTCATCTGACTTCATTGGCATACAGTACAAGTCTACAATCAGCAAATATTGGATCAGGTAAACTGGAAAATAGTCTCATGTAAACACCAAACCTAGAATCCAAAATGCTGAAGCCTCATGTAAACGGTTAGCTTGCATCAAAGTGACCTTGTTGTCTAGTATTTAACTCTCTGATTCAAGGAATCAAGTTTCAACACTGAAACTCTAGTTTAATATGCGATCCAAATATTTCAAAGCAACAGTTAAGCATCAAGACTGTAGAGTGTTGTCGATTCAAAAAATAAGCATACAAAGACTATGCTACCATTTTCCAGTATATAGTATATACACTACCAAATCCATAATGTCCAGTCTCAGCCAATCTAGCTCATTACAAGCCATTATTGCTGGTGTCAAGTTGAACTTAACCTTGTAATAAGAGGGTTGTGATTATTTAACCAGCACTCAGTTTAAAAAGGACAATTATGAAGCAGTGGTTCCTGAAACCTGACCGTGTGTGTGCTCCTCTGGTCTAACTTAACACCAGTGCTCTGTTTCAGTTCATGGGTCCTCTATGCTTGTCGTGGATGGGACAGTCACCTCCATAATCAGTCGGTCTTCATGATGTGCATGGTACAACGAGTAGAGGTAAGATTGGGATCGAGGCAGAGAGAGAGCAAGGGAGAGAGAGTAACCTATAGAACCAGTAGGCGCCGCTACACTGTCGAGGTCCTCGTGCCACCCATCGGCCCTTGCTCCTAAGGCCTGGCTTCCCATGCTCTTGTTCTCCAAGTCTCATCCCTAGTCAGCCTGTCCACACTCTCGCACGACCGTGACATGTCGCCGCGGCGGTGGCTGACTTTCCTCCTTGACTTAGCACAAAAACTTAATGTACATGGACAATTCATTTTTCTACCAATTTGAGCTGGAGAAAATCCTTATAATGATAACATAAAGATAAACCACAATACAAAAGCAGAATTAATGGACATTAACACCATACAATGTCTAGGCTTTAGTCTAATCGCGTCCTAAAAATTCCTCGCCCTTAATCTTTCAACTTCATACCACGTAAGAAAAATATTTGGCATCCCTAAGCCTAGTGTCAAGAAACCAGGCAGGCAAGCACAAAAGCAGGGCGTAATGTAATTGAACCATGGAGAAGCATGGGATGCCAGACATACCTGGCAGCGTGGCCTATCCATGCTCCCCTCCCTTGATTTCCTCGGGGAAGGAATAGTTCACGGTGAGAACGCGACCAAAGAGCTCGACGCCATCCATGCTGCCCATGGCGGCGGTGGCGTCCTCGCGCTCCAGGAACGTGACGAACCTGAAGGAGCGGTGCTTCTGTGTGGCCTAGTCGAGCGGCGTCTTGATGTCCTTGATCTCCCCGAACAGCACGAATGTCGCATGCATGATCTTCTCGTCCACCTCCTCCGCCAATCCACCTACAACGATGAAACCAGGGACGGAGATCGGCTTAGTTTTCCATCGCACGGGAACAAGAAAAGGCAAGGTCCTTCCGCAATCGGGGAAGCAACCAGGAGAGCAGCGGGGGTGCGAACCATGCACATCTCGAAGAGGAATTTCGTCGAATAGCAAGCAAGCGACCGAGCGCGGATAGCGGCGACGGAGAATAGGTTAGTGAGGGACGATGGTGCTACCAAGTTCCTACGTAGAGGTTGTTCTTCTGCACCGGCTGGTTCATGGCGGCGGCGGCGGCGGCGGTGGTGGCGATGAAGCTGCGGGGTCGGTAGGAGCCGGGGATGGCTCGCGAGATGGAGGTGGGGGCGCTGGCGCTCGATGGGAGAGGACAAAGGAGGACGGGGCTCCGCAAGCTGCGCCCATCCTTGACTTCGCCGCCCTCTTCCTCCACCGGACCGCTGTGATACGGGCTTCGCCCGACAAGGACCTCCCGTGCGGCGCTCTGGCCGCCTACCGCGCCACGCTAGCCGTTGTCAACCAGGAAAACGGCGGCGGCGCCCAACCCTATTTCGCGAGACAGAGACATGGGTCAGGAGAGGGGGCAAATCCTCGCCGGCGTCGGCCATCGGCTGGCGTAGCAACGGATCGAGCGTTGCCTTCTGGCAGCATCGGGACGCGAGGGAGAGCCCATGCTTTTATTATTTTGTGTGTGGTCCACGGATAAATGGATTATTAATAATAGGGCAATTAGCCTGCTAATTGGATTTTTTTATTGCAAACGGTTATTGAGAAAACACTGTGGGCGATGACCTTAGGAAACGCACATAGTTTCTAGAAATAGACCGTGTTGGATCAATGAACAATCACACACAACATCATCTTGAAAACTGTTTGCGTTAGGCCACCTTGCGCAAACTTTACCACATAAAAAGTGTGTGTGATGGACAGTCTTTGCCACACAGTTTCCTCTACACACTATGTGTGATGCATTCAATAACACAAACGATAAACTTGTTAATATCGTGTGCAATGGAAACGCTATCACATACGATTTAATGGGGAAAATTATGTGTGATGTACCTGCGAACGGAAACATTTTCCTTGGAGTGACTATGTGGAATGTATATACGAACCGAAACGTACTTCTTGTATTAACTATGTGGGATGTACATACTAACGGAAATGTATTCCTTAAATTAACTGTGTGAAATGTACATACGAACGAAAACGTTTAGCCGAAACTGACTGTGTGGGATGTACTTACGACCGGAAACGATTTGGCATGTATGATTGTATTTTTTAGCACAACTGTACGTATAATCGTATTTGATCGCTCGCCCGTCGCACACGATCTCATTTTGCCTAGCATGTGTGCCAGGAGGGCCTATCCCCGACGGTTTCTGAGTCGTGTGGGAAGGACACCCTATCGCAGTCACTCACTTGACGACGGTTTAAAACACCGTCGCGAAAAGGGTTTAAAAACCGTTTGTATAGCACCTGGCTGTACCAGTGGTTATGACCTCATATTTCTTCTCTGATTTATTGGTTTGGTTTGGCCAACTAGATTGATTTATCTTTCCATGGGGAGAGGTGCTTTGTGATGGGTTCGATATTGCGGTGCTCAATAACAGTGACAGAAAGGGACATGAAACACATGTATCGTAGCTATTAAGGGTAACAAGATGGGACTTATTTCCTACGTGAGTTTATATTGTCTACATCATGTCATCTTGCTTAAGGCGTTACTTCATTCATCCATGAACTTAATACACTAGATGCATGTTGTATATCGGTCAATGTGTGGAGTAATAGTAGTAGATGCATAATCATTTTGGTCTATTTGTCTCGGACGTGATGCCTATATACATGATCATTGCCTTGGATATCGTCATAATTATTTCCTTTTCTGTCAATTGCCCATCAGTAATTTTTTTAACCACCGTATGCTATTTTTATGAGATAATCCTTTGGTGAAAACTATGGCCCCCGTGTTTATTTTCTAATATATTAAAAACAAAAATACCTTGCTGTAATTTTTTTATATTTTTGTTAGATCTATCTATCAAAACCTACAAGTTAATCTTGCTCGTAACCATTGAGGGATTGACAACCCCTCTTCGCGTTAGGTTACAAGTATTTGTTGTTTGTGTGTAGCTGCTGTTTACATAGTGTTGCTTGGTTCTCCTACTAGATTGATAACCTTTCTTTCATAACTGAGCGACATACTTATCTATACTGTACTACATCATCCTCTCCTCTTCGAGGAAATCTCAACGCAGCTCACAAGTAGCAGTACATCCCTCGTTACTAGACCTAGATCCATACGAATGACTCGAGTAGATGATTTAATCATTGCTGTAATGCCATTTTTCCCATCTAGATCTCTATGTTGCTTTCAATAGACCCCCCATTGATGAATGGGTTCTTGTATCCACCCCTGTTTAGGTCTTCAAACATTCCTTTTTGAAGCATTTTTAGATCTGTAAACGTAAATGCTCTGTCGGATTCTTGTTTGTGGCTTGCTCAACGCTTAGCAAAAACCAAAAACGCAACTGAACTCCTAGCTCCGGTTCATGATTTTGTCGGCTCATCACTACTTTCCATAGCTTTGCATAAACTTTGATAATCATAGCTTGAATAGACATAGCCGCCTTATTATTTTGCCGGCTCATAATTTGAGTAGCCTGGTGATTTACCACCCATGGATATACTTGTCGGCTTATCATTATTATCTTCACTTTGTAGTTTAAGCTTAAGTGAATTATCATGGCTAATATTGACAAGGCCTGCAACTGGGTTAGATCCCATGTCTCAACCCTCATGCTGAATGACCTCATGGGGCAAGGCCTCTTGCCAGGCTCAAGAAAGATATTAGTTGGTGGGCTCCTAAAGAAGAGAGTTCCCCCTAGCCTCAGCAAGAAGAAATTGTCATCTTTGTAGACCAGCTTCAGAGGGGGTTTTGTCCGCCCGAGCCAAAATTCTTTCATGACGTTCTCAATTTCTTCGACCTCTGGACCCAGGATATTGGTCCAAATTCCATCACCAATCTTTGCCAATTTCAAGTTTTCTGTGAAGTATATCTCCAGACGGCGCCAACTGTCCCTCCCTTTCCAGAATTCTTCTACATCAACCACCAGACTGAGTTCAAAGAAGTTCCTAGTATAGAACTTGGTGGAATTTCTGTCCAAAGGTGGAAGAATAGTCCTTTTCCTAAAGCCAAGCTGGTGAGTTATCCCATGGGCTGGAACAGGACTTGGTTTTACTGCAAAAACACTGCTCCTCAAGGTGAAAACCCCATGCCAAGTCATGTAACAATTGCTTTTCCGGGTTGTCCATCAGACGAGGAGCGAAAACAAGTGGCCTCTTTTTATTATAAGTTAAGAGCTCTGATTGCTAAATGCTTCACCGGGATCGATCTGACCCAGTGTTGGATAAGCTGGCATATCCATCCCCTTAGCTTAAGGGGCAACTTAATATTCAACTGTACTGGTGAGCCGGAAGATGCACAATGCTTCAGCAAAGCCAATCTTTCTGAAGATGAAATTAACAATGCCACAAAGAAGTTGTTGGGAGAGTCCCAAGGAAAATGCAACATGACCGGTGTGGCTCCCTTCTGCCTGACCAACCCTGTGCCTCAAGTGAGTGTTATTTTATACTATCTTACTCATTCTATCCAACTTATATGCCGTCTTAAACTTAATTTCGGGCTCGTCATATATGTAGGCAAACTCCAAGTTTTGGAAAAGGAAGACTCAGAAGACTCCTCCTCCTCATGTTGGACAAGTGGATGAGCTGGCTGATGCTGACGAGGCGGCTGCTGAATCCAAGGTAGAACTCGACTCACTAGGTCATCTCTTTATTGAGTTTGCTGATGCTCCTCCTTCTCAAGATAACCCTGAGACCAGTAGAGCCGACAATGTTGAAGTAATTTCAATTTCATCAAATTCGGTGTTGGCGTGGAAAAACGAGCACCTATGGGGCACGGGTGCCCCTTTGTGGTTCGGCAAGGGGACGATCACATTCCACAAAGAGCAGAAATGGCAGGGCAACACAGCAATGGACAACTCCATTTTACCCAGGCTCGGGCCGCTTTGTAATGTAAAACCCTACTCCTGATGTGGCAAGGGGACAGTCGCATTGCACAAAGAGCAGAAATGGCAAGGCAATGCGGCACTGGACAACTCCATTTTACCCAGGTTCGGGCCGCTTTGCAACGTAAAACCCTACTCCTGCTGTGGTGGATTGATCTAGAGGAACACGAAGGCACGACATGCTCAAGCCCGGCAAGGGTGCCTCGGGAAGAGAAGCGCGTGCATACAAGTGTTGTGGGATCTAAAGTTAGAACCCTTTGC